TTATTGTGTTTACAGTTATTTTACTGCCAACGACAGTAATATAATTACGTTGACTTGTCAACAAATCAAACAAAATAAAAAAAAACAACAAAAAATAAAAAATAATAATATTACATTAATTTACTGTCAACGACAACACAATTACATAAATGTATTGTCAACGACAGTACAATTACATTAATTAACTGTCATTGACAGTATAATTACGTTAATTTACTGTCAGTGACAACACAATTACGGTCAACATTTAGCGGCGGACGTAAAAAAAAACAAACAAAAAAAAAAAACTTAAAAAAACACTAAAAAAAGTCAACGCCGGAGACCGCCGGAAACCGGCGAAAAAATCCGGAAGAAAAGAAAAGAAAAAAGAAAAAAGCAAAAAAAAAAAAAAAAAAAAAAAGTCAACGCCGGAAACCGGCGAAAAAATTCGAAAGAAAAAAAAAACAAAAAAGATTTTTTTTTTTTGAAAACTCAACGACGGAGACCGGCGTTGACCGCTGGAATCCGGCGGCAAAAAAATAATTTTGGGTCAAAATTGAATAATTTGTGAAATTTGGGGTCAAATTGAGATTAAATTAAGTTAAGGATGAAATTGGAGCATATTAAAGTATGCTCACGAGTCTACTTTACTACTTGTTTGCGATACGTACACTTGCGTGTTGGTATTTAGCACCCAACAGGTTACAATTAAGAATTGAGTATAAAGGGTTGGGGTAATATTGGCGTATACATGAATGTTTCCTTTATTTATAATAAATATTAAATGGATGAGTTATTAGTGAAAGAGATATAATTCATAAACCTAGAATAATAAACATGCTTGGTTGGGGACTTATGCACAAAAACCCCTTATTTTTTTATGATAAAATTGCATTAAAAATGTACACTTTAACTAATAATAGTTAATTTGATTAAGACGTTCTTGTCAATAGTTGAGTGTGCATAATCGATTCAAATATTTCAATAATGTTTACGAATTAAAATGACTTGAGCTTAATTGGTTCAAATATTACGCTTTGATAAAATATTACGATTTACGATTAGGTTCTTACATGTGCATGGGTGGTTAGGAGTGATGAATGTACTAAGTTGTCACAAGTTCTATCTGTAATGAATGCATTTTTTTCGATTATTTATCAAATAAAACTCGGTCACAATTTAAATTAAATAGTAGGGGGTAAATTAGACAATTCAATGTTAATCTACGTTATATTAATTTAATAAAAAAAATAATCGAAGGATAATTTGGAAAAGTACTTCATTTTTGAGAACATAAGCCATGGTATTTGCCTAGGGTCCATATTTAATCTTAAAAAATTAATGGTAACTAATGCATATGACATATAAATTTAGAACACATGTGGTCTCGCCCTAGAAAGACCATAAACTTCAATTTCTAATCAACCCATCAACACTTGAACATAATTTAGGAGACCTAACCCGAAAACCAAGCTGGTTTTGAGGGAAGGCAATAAAGCGGTTGCCTTGGGTCCCCAACTTTTTACGAATTGTAGGGGTCCCCAATTTTATAAAACTAATCATTGCATAGTACTCTATACTTCCCTTAATAATTATCACTTTTATTAGTTGTAAACATATTAAAAAACTCAATAGATATGCATGGGTAGTAACAAAAAGTATAGCAAATTACCAAAATGTTCATGCCATTAATTGATTTTAACTAGTTATATTTTATTAATTGTGAGTTAGAAAGGGCAAAATTGAAAAAAAATACAATTAATGGTGCATTGGAATAGTAAAATGACAAATAATTTAAAACATCAAAAATGGCAAAAGTGACAACTATTAAGGGAAGGAGAGAGTAGTATTTACTTGTAATCGTACCAATAATTTGCACTTATTTTTAAAGTGTTTTAAAATATAATTAAAATTCAATTTAAAGTTCATTAGTAAAATATTTTTTTCATTTTCTTTCTTTTTGTTACTTTTTTATTTTAATTCTCTTTTTTTTTTTTCAGTATGTAGTACTGGTAGTCGTAACTATGTTATTTGAATTATTAACTATTACATATTAGTTTTACCTAATTTATTTATTTGTTAGATGTTTTTTGTTGAATGACCATCTCAACCAAAAGTCCAAAAGCTTAAGCTATTAGAGAAATGTATCATTTATTATTAATATCTCCAATACGCCCCCTCAAGTGCACTGAAATGTATCATTTATTATTAATATCTCCAATACGCTCCCTCAAGTGCAGGCGAATTACATTTGAACCCTTGCACTTGAAATATTTTTAAATTGGTGGCTGTGGGATTCGAACTCATGACCTTTCAATTGCCCTGGCTCTGATACCATGTTGAATGACCATCTCAACCAAAAGCTTAAGCTATTAGTGAAATGTATCATTTAATATTAATATCTCCAATACTTTTAATATTTATTGTTTTGTTTGGTTTTAATATATTACCGCAAAAAATATAGTATGCAATTATTTAATTTTATGTTAATGCTAGTTAATAATTTTAAACAAATTGTGAATTTTATCGTGAAACAAAAATGTATTAGGGGTGGGAGAATACCAAGATTAAATAAAGAAGAAAGTAGTTTTCTATACTATTTGTCAATAATATGAGTTTTTGCCCCCTGTTTTTTTTAATTATAGATTTTAGCCCCATCATTTTTTTCGTTTTAAGTGTCCATACTCTTTACAAATTGATATATTTTTTTTTTCATATTCATCATTAAATTAAAAAAAATGTATAAAATACTATTTAATTAAGGTCTATAAATAATTACTAACTTTGATATTTTTGTATAAATACCTCTAAAAGACATCGGATCCCGAACCCCACAAATTTTAACCTATCCAACATTCACTAATAGAATGATGGTTTTATACTACGATCATTATCCGTAGCAAAAGGTACCAAATTCGTAGTAAAAAGGTTTTTGCTACGAATTTGGTCCATAGCACAGGCGTGACAAAAACTTTGTTACAGTAAACGGCCGTAACAAATATTTTTTTACTACAGTAAATCTTAACATTCATTACGACTCCAAGATTGTCCCGTAGTAAAAGGTACCTTTTGTTAGTAAAAATACCGTAGCAAAACAAAATGGTACTAAAAGACCATATTTTCTACTAGTGATTATAAGCCCTTTGATTTCATCAACTTGAGAGTCGGAGTATTTTTGCTGGGAAACATCCCGGCACCCCTAACATATTTTCTTTTAAAGTAATACCAGGTCAAATAGAGTTGTAGATCATAACATTGCTTATGCTGCAAGCATATATAAAATATAATGGGATTCCAGTGGTAGATCTAAGAAGATTTTGTGGATGGGCCAAATGTTTTAAGGGAGACATGCATACAAATATATTGCATTATCGTATTAAAAAATAGGAAAAATTGACTGAAACTTCCTTCAACATATTTTGTATATCTAAGAGTCCAACCAAATATTTTTAATTTGCTGAAAATCCATCGAAGCAGTTTAGTTAGATAGCTTAAACTGAAAATAGATAGCTTGAACTGAAAATAGATCTAGACAACTTATTTGGAGAGTTTAGACTGAAAAATAGATAGTGTAATTTAGACTGAAAATAGTCAGTTAGCTGGAGAATTTAGACTGAAAATAGACATCTTAGATGAAAATAACATTTTTCAATGATCTTGTGGTGAAAATTAGGTGGTCGGCGGCTTGAGACCGGTTAGAAGAGGCAGAAGAGCGGAAGAAATGCTATTTTTTTTGGAGTTGATGTGGTTTTAAAGACAAATGAGTTGGAGGATGATAATTGTTAAGTGTATATTTTTACACTTAATCATATCTCTTAATTGGAGCTTTCGGTATATTTTATTGATAATTGGTGCTTAAAGTTTTGATTTATTGTGTTTCATGCAAAAATTGAAGAGTTGAATAAATTGAGGGTCAAAACTACAATTTAGAAGAAAAGATGGACAAAATTGGAGAAGTCAAATATTCAAGAAGGAAAGACTGCGTAGTAAAGAAACTTCAAAAAATTACAAGGAAATTGTATTTTCTCCAGTTTTTCTCACCTTATAAAAAGTCATCTCAAACACACAATTAGCAGTTCTCTTTTTACGCAAATTCGAGAGCAAAGAAACAACAACGAAGACTTTGAAGAATCAAGCATCATTTTTATCTTCCCTGATTTATTTTTATTTAGCTTTTAATTTAATCATGAGTAGCTAAACTCTTTATTTCTAGGATTTTATTTTGAACCCTATGTGGGATTTATGAACCTTTTCCCATGATTTTATGCAAGTTTTAATTCCGGATAATTTGTTATACTTGTTTTATTCAGTGCATGAAACTGACCACTTTATGTGCTTTTATGTTATTGTTAATCGCATGAATCAGAAGATCGGGTTAATAAATAGAACTTAGGTAGAAGAGCATTTGTAGTATTAACATATGAATATAATTAATCTCTTAGGTAGCCATTATTGAAATTTGTGCTTCATGTTGTTCTAGATTTAATTACGTAGGAATACAGTTCAATCTAGAGTATTAGAATCGTAATACACGCGGAAGCAGGTTATGATTAATTTAGCATCTCGGGTTAGTAATCCGATTTAATAACTTGCATAATTGAAGGGTTTGGAGAATTAATAATCACATAGGGGGAATAATAAAATCCTAGGCTTGTTTCTCTGATTAATCTTCGTGTTTAATTGTTTCCTTGCTATTGCCTTTTTAATTTGCTTTAATTTAGTTTAATTAATTTAGAATAATTACTCAACTTTCGACTCTGTAGGGTGGATTTGATCATAAATTGTAGGATTTAGTGTCTAGAATTCGATAATTAAATATTTTGTGTAGGATCGGTATCTGGACTTAATTGTCCACTATATTACTTGTTCGATACGTGCACTTGCGTGTAGGTATTACAACCAACAAGTTTTTGGCACCGTTGTTGGGGAATATTTTAATTATATTATTTTGTTCTAGCTATAGATTTGAACAATTTTCACGATTCACCTGATTTTAATTTTTATTTTCTTTTTTATTTTAGGTACCGTTTTATGCGCATGAGACTCAATCTCGACAGAGAACTGTTTGACCAAAAAATCGAACGCACTTTTCGAGCTGCCAGGAGACTTCAACGCAAGAATAATATAATTGAGGACGACGAACGCAGAGACGCAGAGGGTTATTTACTCGATGCGAACATAATTTGAATCCAAGACCAACCCCCACGGCTTCCACTACAACTAGCAGTTTGGCCGCGGGCACTTCAAGACTACATAGTCCCTACTCTTGATGGATTCTGCCCAAGCAATCAGTATCCACCCATCGAGGCACATAATTTCGAGATCAAGCAAGGCCTCTTAACAATGCTCCAAAATAACGGGTTATTTAGTGGACTGGCATGTGAAGATCCGCATCTTCACATTGTCAATGTTTTAGATACCTGTAACTCCCATCGTCAAAATGGCGTTTCCCAAGAGGCGCTTCAATTAATTCTCTTCAAACACTCCCTGCAAGGAAGAGCTCGCCAGTGGTTGATGTCCCAAGCCCCCCACTCTATCTCGTCATGCTCTCTACCCCTAAAAGTTTTCATGAAAGTTTACAACTCACCGGAGGCGGGCGAACGAATACGACGGGAAATTCACAATTTCGTCCAAGATCAAGTGGAAGTATTATTAGAGGCGTGGGAGAGATTCAAAACCATTTTGAGGCAATGTCCAACTCATGGGGTGGAAGAATGGCGGCAAATCAATATCTTCTACCAAGGAATTTACGAGAATGCGAGAACTGTATTAGATGCATCAACCGGAGGTAATTTTATGAGTCAATCTATACCTAATGCATTTATTATGTTGGCTCGGATTGCACAAAACAGGTTTGCCAAATCAAGCGAAAGGACAATTAGTGGATCCAAGAAGGTTCCCAGGGTTTTGGAACTAGATGCAATTACGACTCTTCAAGCTCAAGTGACTCAATTTGCTTAGCAGAACCAACTCCTTTTACAGCACATCAAGGCAAACCCACCACAACAAGTCCAAGCCGTGGATTCTCCATGCTGTGAAATTTGTAGGGGAAATCACTACACCCTCCAATGCCCACAAGATGTGGAATCGCTCAATTACGTCAATAATGCGCCTTGCCAATTCCAAAATTAAGGATGGAGATCACAAGGGCAATACAAAGGAAATCAACAAGGCCAATGGTACCTAAGACCTCAAGGCCGATTCCAAAATCAAAGCAACAATCCACCGGCCCAAAACTCACACATTGATGAGGTGTTCGCCCAATTTATGACCGCCACTCAAGCCTCCTTGCGCAACTTAGAAACTAAATTGGCACAACTAGCATCGAATCAAGAGAACCGTCCAGTAGAAGAATTACCATCAAATACGGAGGACCCTCGAAAGCAGAAGTTTGAGACTTGCCAAGCTATTGATTTAAGGGTCGAGAAAAAAGAAGAAATTCAAAGAAAGCCGCAAGTGAAAAAACAAATAAAAAAAATTCGGGCGGTCATCTGAAAGCTCAATAATTGAAAGTCAACTCACGTCTTTCGGGATGACCATCCGAATTATAGCTCAATTTTCCATACGGCCGTCTGAAAGCCTAGAATTGAAAACCCACTTACGGCTTTTGAGACAACCGTCCAAAAATTGAGCTATATTTCGGACGGCTGTCCCGAAAGACGTGAGTTGACTTTCAATTTTTGAGATTTCAGACGGCCATCCGGATTTTCCTTGTATTTTCGGACGGCCGCCACAAAAGCCGTAAGTTAGCTGTTCCACTCTTAAACTCGGACGGCCGTTTGGATTTTCCTTTTGTATTTTCGGACAGCCGTCTGGAGTCCTTGATCGCAATTTTAACCCTGAAAAAAAAATCAAATAAATTAATTAGAATGCATGCTTATGAAAATAAATACAAAACCTAATATAAAAGAAAAATACGAAAAACAATAAAGCTTGCCTCCCGAGAAGTGCTAAGTTTAGAGTCTTCAGCCGGACGTTGCTTATTTATTTTCAAGCAAAAATGACCGAAGCCACTTGGCGTTCTTCATTATCTCCCCGATAAGGCTTGAGCCGACTCCCTTTCACTTGGAACGTGCGATCCGAATCACGCTCCTTTATCTTGACTACTTCTTGAGGAAAAATGTCTTGGACAATGAACTGTTCCGACCACTTTGATTTGATCTTGCTTGGGAATAACCAAAAACGGGACTTGCACAATAACACCAATTGTCCTCCGTGAATTTTTCGTTTGATTCTATCATTACGACCCCAATAGCTTGCATAGGCCTTCTCTCGTTGCTTGTTTGGATCTTTGGGTGGCAACATCCATTCCTTCGCGCCCTCATTGCCGTCAACATCCCAACTCTTTGGACTATCCTTTGGAAGAATTGTGGTTGAGTCCACAAAACAAACTTTCTCATGTCTGCTCTTGTTTACGCCATCGTCTGCTGCACTCAAAGATGCTTCCCAAGGGGCTAAGATCAAAACATCAAAATTTTCAAGATTTGTAAAATCCATAATATCAATATCAAAACAAGCATTATTATCACATGGAATTTTATTTGCACTAAAAACATTAAATTTGATCGTTTGATCATGAACCGCCATCGTAAGATCACCGCTAGCACAATCAATTAGAGTTCTAGACGTAGCTAAAAACGGTCTCCCTATAATAAGAAATATCTCCCTATCCTTATCCATATCGAGTACAACAAAATCAACAGGGAAGATAAATTTGTCGACTTTTACTAGCATATTCTCTAAAATACCTTTTGGGTAAACTAAAGACCTATCAGGTAATTGAAGAATTATAGTTGTAGATTCAATCTCTCCTAACCCAAGACTTTTATAACTGGAATAGGGCATAAGATTAAAGTTAGCACCTAAATCAATGAGCGATCTAAATTTGTTTACCTCCTATAGTACAAAGGATAGTAAACTTACCTACGTTGCCGAGTTTTTGTGGAAGGGGCCCAGTAAGAATTGCATTGCATTGCTCGGTGAGTTGGATCATCTCGTTCCCTTGCAATTTCTTCCCCTTTGTGACGAGGTCCTTGAGGAATTTCATCCACTTTGGCATCTTTTAAAGTGTTTCAATGAATGGGATATTTATGTGAATTTCATTCATCTTGTCCAAAAAGCCTTGGTATTCGGCATCGAGCTTTTTCTTTAAAAACTTTTGAGGATATGGAATTGGTGGGGTTAATTTTTGGGACGGCCGTCCGAAACGAAATTTGGGCGAAAATAATATTTTTTTGGGTAAATTACACCCACACCCCTGAGGTATGCTTAAATAACTGTAAGGTCCCTGTGGTATCAATAATTACACTCATCCCCCTGAAAGGTAGTTAAAAACTCTAACGGGATAATGCATTTGATACATTATTCCGATAGGGTTCTAATGGACTATTGGTTTCAGGAAGTGGTGAAGACAACAAAGAGTTATGGGTGATTTAAAAAATATTAGGGGAGCCATGTGACCCCATAACTCCCCATAACTCTATGTTATCTCCACAACTAGCTAAATAGTCTACTCCATTAGAGCCCTATCGGAATAATGTATCCAATGCATTATCCTGTTAAAGTTTTTAACTACCTTTCAGGGGCCAGCAATGTAATTATCGATACCACAGGGACCTTACAGTTATTTAAGCATACCTCAGGGGTGTGGGTGTAATTTACCCTATTTTTTTTTTCTCACAATTTCTGAAATCCTTCTTATACTTTCTCTCAATCACCCACGCACCAACCTTCTAATTTTTCGAATCTCACTTCAAAATTCACAAAACTTCACACACACTACGCAATCACCAATTCTTTAAATCTTATATTGTGTTGGTATTGACAGGGAGGCTCGAGAATCGATCCAAATTCTGCACAACCTACCTCTTCAAGGCACCCACAAGGTGTTCGATAAATTGCTCCAATCAAGTTTGGGGGATTCAATTCTCATTCAAATATCACCAAATATCTTCCGAGCTTTCCAATCATGTCTTCCAACAAGAGAGGCCGCACGGGAGAAGCATCTTCTTCAGAAAAGGGGAAGGCAAAGAAAGGATCCACCAAGGAAATGTTGGTTCCCCAACCCGACAAAGAAGCGTTTAGTGTCGAAGGAGCCGCAGCCCTATTAGACAAACAAACCAAGAAGAAAGTCATTACAGAACGATCCTTGACGATCACCCTACCACACTTTCCCAACCTTAATCAAGAAATCATCAAACGAGAGTGGCAAAAGTTGTGTGAACCGGAGCCCACTTACGATATCTCGATCTTCCGAGAATTTTACGCTAACACATTGGTACTCAAACCTCCCAATTATTCCACAAGTGTGGTACGGAACATATATGTCGGGTGGAAGATGGACGACATCAACCAATACTATGGACTCCGCTACTTAGGTCACAATTGGGATGTGATGCGAGAAGAAGTCACTAAGGATCAAATTGGTGAAGTGTTTTGTGATGGGCATCCGAAGTTGCTTGAATACCCGGATAAGAAGATGTATGAGCTGATTTGGAAGAGCATCAACTACGAAGGCAAAGCGTGGTTGACATTTATTTGTGCCAACGTGATTCCGACTACCTCTTTTAGTCGAATCAACCACAATGGAAAGAGTCATTGTTAGGAATCACAAATTATGCCTTGCTTTGGTTGAAAGTTGTGCGTTTTAAAACATGGAATTGATTTATGCTATATCATATGCTATTCGGTTTTAGAAATTGCCTTAGGAATTTACAAGGTGAAATAGTAAATTATTGAGCAAATTGGGAAGGACTTGGGCCATCTTTGAACCGTTTGAGCCTTTAAGCCTACCTTTAAATTCTTATCATTTGAACCTTGATTGAGCCTCGAAGAAACGGTGTTCTTTCTTTTAGTCAAAATGAAGTGGGTAGATTAGATGGTGATTTCTTGATAAATCATCCCTTGAAGCTTGGTTGGAAAATTTGTTCCGTTTTTCTTCGTCGATCAAAAAAAAAAAAAAAAAAAAAAAAAAAAAAAAAAAAAGAAGAAGAAGAAAATAAATAGAAGGGGAAGAAAGGACTTGAAAAGAAAAAGAAGAAAAAAAAAACTCGAACCATCATGTTAAGAGCAAAAGTGGAGAATTTTGAACTATTGAACAATTCGAGTTAGGTAATAAGTCCTTCGAGGTGAAGTAATAATTCCAAAAGCTAAATCTTAGCGAAAACACCTCAAGTCAAGAAAGAGAG